GGGGAGGGTGGGGGATAAAGGCATAACCCTTCATTAAATTATCATTTCTGCACCGAAAAATTACAGAAACTGCAATGCTCGCGTGACACTTTATTTGTTCTTAGAACACTCCAATATTCTCCATAAAGGTTGTACCGTGATAAAACGAAGTTTGACAGCTGGTGACAATATGTCCACAGTAAAAGCAACGGTTTAGAAAATTTACCATCATAAATCTGCAGACTGGACCTTTTCTGTGGCATGAGTTCCATCACAAAACGGTGCTGAACCTGTCTGTTTGCATCCGCACAGGAAGATCTCAGAGCTGGTTGCTTCTGCCACAAACCGAACTGGCTTGATTTGAGTCACTTTATGACTTCCATCACAGAATGGCTGCAAGGAATTAAGTGCACTTAAAAAAAAGGTCGCTCAATAGAAATTGGTCTATTTTTTTCATTACAACTTCAGAGCAGATCTTCCACTGGCTCTTAATTAAGGTAACTCCCCTCTCTGCACCTTTTTTTTGTCATTTCGTGAAAAGTGGATTTTGGTGACAACTTTTAAACATCACCTTTGGATTCAAGCTTTTGACAAATTTCAAAGGTACCAGGTATATAATCTCTTTCAGGGATGTTGTTTCCTGTTGTCTAGCAACACGAGAAAAAAAAAAACCCTTATACCAACCTTCCAAAAATCACTTTACCCACCTGTTCAAACAGTTCTGTCACAGAAAAGTCTGAAAGGCTCTCTCTCTTCCCAAAAAAATTAATTTAAGTAGTTTTTAGGGTCTGTCTACAGAAAGCACCCTTTAAAGTCACAAACAAAAGTGAGATGTCTCTCAGAAAAATTAATGCCACCAAAAATTCATACAAAAGGTTATTACACTACACCCAGAAGATGACAAATACAACATTTTAAAGGTTATTACACTACACCCAGAAGATGACAAATACAACTTTTAATAATTCTACACAGAAAAACTTTGACATTAATTTGTAGTGTGATTGTCCAGTTATGAGCGATCCTAACAATCTGATTTTGATTAGAACTTGCCCTGAGATTTTTTTTCCAAATGTCAGCCATAGAAAATGACTCTTTCCATGTCAATCCTTAGCCAGACAATCACACCCAAACAGTGTTAGTCATCAACAGTGTTAGTCTCAGGTTATGTTAATTTATTATGAGCTAACTCAACCTTATAGGCATGTGAAGTAACTACCTGTTTTTTACTTAGCCCACACTTGCACCAAGAATATTTCTTCCCTTCAACAAGTTCCACTTGGAATGGTTCCTTAGCTGCAATAACTGTTGC